TCCAAAAGTTAATTGCAGTTGTGATTTATTTCTGAACATGCCATTAAAATCTGTCCGTAGGTATTTGGTACTACTTGACCTCCCACAATATACAAATCTTACAGTAAAAAAAAAAGATTTAAAACAAGAATACTATCATGCATTTCATGATGCTTTAATTTAAAAACAGAAATTTACTGCTACTTAATAATATCAAATTTCCTATAGTATTTATATTACAGCTATAACATTCTATGATATTATTATATGACATAATAATTAGAGTTTAATATATATAGAATACTGTATATGCAATAATATGTAGACTGAGAGATGATTATTGAATGTGTTGTCAGCTTCTGTGGAAAAAAGTGTGACTTAAATTCCGGAAAATATGGTGCATATTATTGCATATTAAAAATCTCACACAGCAAACCTGATTATTGTATTCACACAGACGACACTGATGTTTTGGGGTGACCGCATGATTTGTGTCATACTAGGAGATGTCTGTGCTTTGGAGGGGCGAGTGGAGCGGGGCTTGTTTATTTAGCACAGTTGTTAGCAACCATGAAGCTAAGCAAATCAGATCCACGCTATACCTAGTCCCACAGTAGGTTTACGAATGGAGCACTGGTCATAAAAACAGTCTTCCTAAAGTGTGTTCATGTTTTCTATCCTCCATTCACCATAAAGTTGTTACAAAAATATAAGTTAAACAAAGAAACACCCTTCTCTGTTCGTTGTTTAAACAGTCACGTATGGTGAAGGTCTAATTAGTATTGACTGCGTCAGAGTTGGTTTGTTTTTGCAGAGAACTAAATATTTCAGACAAACCATGCATTTCATTGAGGACGACAAAGATAACTTTACTAACACTGATATATTTTACCTCTACATTAGATTTATTGTTCTGGCTAAGGTTTTCCAAGGCAATAGCCTATGCTAGGTTATCTAAATGTTAGCTTGCTATCTTGAGAGGCATGTAGCTAATGACAAGCAGGTTGGAGGATTGAAGATAATTTATTATTGTTGATTTATTTTGTTTTACAGATCAGTGAAAATAAACTTACTATGCTCTCTCTGTTCAGCAAAATGTGGAATGGAATGGAATGGACTGTACTTATGTAGCGCCTTTCTATCTTATTGAGATACTTAAAGCGCTTTACACTACAATCTGTGTCCTCATTTACCCATTCATACAACACTCTACTAGATCTCTACAAAGCTAATTGAACAAATAATTCTAAAGAGACTAATCAGTGATTTATCACATTCATACACCGATGGGACACACATCGGAGGCAATGAGGGGTTCAGTATCTTGCCCAGGGACACTTCGGCATGTGACTGCTGTGGGGTTCGAACCCCCAACTCTTGCATTGGAGGACAACTGCTCTAACCACTCAGCCACAGCCGCCCTACGTGTGCTATGTGGTTGCTCCCTGCTTCGTCTGCCTTGAATATGAAACCTAAGTGAACGCAATGACTTGACAGTAGTCTCCATGCGCCCTCTGCTGGATACATTGCACAATTACAGCTGGTTACGGTTCCAGCATTTTAGGGGTGAAAATTAGAAGTTCTTATATCCGTGAAATGTGGGACAATTATCACCGATACGGATAGGACCCCAAAGGCCTATACTGGTCTAAAATATTGACCCTGCTGATATATCGTTCGCCTCTGGTAATGGCATAATATATAATTATAGTTAGCTCTAAAGTAAACATAATAATAGTACATGATATTCTTTTCTATTGTTCTTTAGTCGTTTTGCAAGCCTGACAACTTAATGTTAGTTAGTTAGCAATCCAGGTTATTAGTGTCTGAATCAAGCTTGCTGTATACAGATTGTTTTAGACATGCTAACTCTTGTAGCATGTTGTTAACTTTTGTTTTATGTTAGCAAAATGCATAGGTGTCATTCCTTTGGTAGCCAAGCCATGACTGTCTTTCTTTTTCACTACTGGCAACATTTTTAAATGTTCAACTTTAACATTTTATCTACAAGAGAAATGCTTGGGATTTCCCTTGACTGTTTCCCTGACCGTTGCTGCAAGCTGTCAGTCGGCTGTCTAACACAACTGACTGACAGCTTGCAGCAGCTGAAAGGGCAGGGGGAAGACTTTGCTGTGTGTGATAGAGAAGTTGGGCTTTGAAACAACTTTTCTAACACTGTATACCTTGAAATTGGAAACTGACCCATGTTAAGTAGTAAATAGATTAAGTTCTAGAATAAAACTAAAATTAGAATTTTATAATACCTGTAGTATTTTTTACCTAATTAATGCAATTTTTCTTTCTGACTAATTTATTCTCACCTGGTTTATTCTCGCCATTGTTTGTATGTCTGTGTGCATGTATGTGTTTGTCTGTCTGTTAACAAAATATCTAACAAGCCACTGAATAGATTTCAATAAAACTCTCACAAAGTAATCACTTCACATCTGCAACTGATTAACTTTTGGAGCCAACCTGATTCAAAATGGCTGCCATGGCTAATTGACCGTAGCCAACACAAAATGGCATCATTTTTACAGATACTGAGCTAGAATTTGCCATAGTTGTAGCCGTGAATCATCCCCAACTCATACTCCTCGCACCGATTGTTTTGAGGTCTTTATTTAAAAACTCTGGCATAAAAATAGGCAGATAACAAGCTTTTCATAAAGAAATGTTGGGTCTCTAATTAAGATGTTTGGATGTGATGCTAAACTGGGAATCTGCTCCTCATGAATGGTTTGGCCTGATAAATATTAATGCCAATTTATCAATTAAACAAAGTATTTTTACTTTTTAATTTTTTTTCCATTATTTGAACAAAAAACATGTAACAATCAAACAATCCCCTCCCACACCGGATCAGTCAAAACCACACAAACAAGTTAAACAAGCATTGACATGCTCTCAACAAACAATATAAATGGCCGCCATGTGTCCCAGAACCTCTGCACAGAACCCTGCACAGTATCTCATCTTCTCCATATGAACATGACACATCACCTCTCTTAACCAATGTACATACGATGGGGGGCGTGGGTCCTTCCAGTTGCACAAAATTAGCCTCCTGGCCAAAAGGGAGCCAAAGGCAATCACATCCCTCTCGCATTTGCTGAAGGACGTGTCCACAGGGACCACCCCGAACAGTGAAATAAGTGGTGATGGGTGAACAGTTTTACCACATATTCCAGAGAAAGTGTCAAAAATAGATTGCCAAAAGGTCTGCAGTTTGGGACAGGTCCAGAATGTATGCAGGAGTGTAGCTGGAGTTTGTCTGCAATGATTGCATGCTGGGTCCAGATTGGCCTTGATCTTGGACAGCTTATTTTTGGACCAGTGCAGCCTGTGCAACACCTTGAATTGAATTACAGCATGTCTCAAGCAAATTGAAGATGAGTAAATGTTCCTGATAATCCTTCTCCAGATTGAGTCTAATACGGCTTCCTCCAAGTCCACTTCCCATTTCAATTTGAGGGAGTCCAAACTGGACTCATGGTATGAACTGAGCAGTGTATAGATTCCAATCTATTAATTAAAAGCTATTTGATCAAACTATCACAGCTGGAAATAACTCATTATCCACTGAGGGTGGAACTAACACTGTTCTGAAGCTGTTTGTGATTCACAACAAGCACTATTTAGGCTCTTTTTTGACACTTTAGGGTTTTGATAATCAGTGAAACGTGCTGATCACTTTCTCCCCTTCAACAGCACTGATGTATTGCCATTGCTTCATTTTACATTTAAAATCACGTTCTAGTCCGTGCCGATTCAATAGTGGTACATTAATCTGACTATTAAATCTACTTCTTTCATAGCTAGCTATCTTTCAATCTGTGAAAATGTCTGTTGGCTGAGATTCTGGTCTAAACCCAGAACTTTTTTTTTTCTCAGTTCATTTATTACTCTGGTTTTATCTTGTTAGGTAGTTTTCTGATTAGAGGAATCATCTCTGAGCCACTTTGGATCACTAGCGTCATCACACTTTGGGAGGATCCTATCTGTCTTTTCTTCCTTTTGGTTTTCTGGGTCTTCTCTATCTTTCTCTTTTTGTTTTTATTTTTGCTCTGGGTTCATTTCCAAATGATTTTGCCTAAATTTGCTGAAGAAGCTGAAACCAGACTGAAACAGTTTCATTGCTAATCTGTTCATGCGAGTTGATTTTGAGCAGCTGGCATTTGCTGAAAGCAGGAAAATAAAAGTGGAAATCAGTAGAAAAAAACGACAGAAATGTGTAGAAAAAGCTGAACAGAGCACAAATGTAGCAGAAAGAAACCGAATAATCTGAAATTAGCAAAAAAATAAAACGAAAATGTACAGAAAAAAGCTGAAAATGATCAGAAAGAGACTGAAATTAGAATAAAAAGTTAAAATTGCTAGAAAGAAGCACAAAAGGCGGAAATGAGGAAAAAAAATAAAAAATCTATTAGTAGCTGGGAAAGCTAAAAAAACAAAAAGCTGAAATGAACAGTAAAAGGTCTTAAACAGCACAAAGGGTTTGAAGGATGTGAAGAGAGCTCCATTCATTTTCAATGAGAACATCATGACAGGAAAAGCTAAATATTTCAAAAAGTAAAAACTGCACAAACACCAAAACTCACAGCAGGAATGTCCTGAATGAGCTGAATGTTTTGATACATGAATTGTTGAAATAGCACAAAAATTGCAGGATGCTTTATAAGCATTCACACACACACGTATTCATCTTAAAGTTTATTTCAAAAGAGCTGTTACACAAACCCATAATGTCGTTTTAATTTACATTTTTATTGACATTCAGCAACAAATTTAACATGTACTTGAGTTATTAGTAGACAAACTCAACTCTCACTTTCTTTGTTTAATACAGTTGTGTTGTTTTATTGGTCAAAACATGTTTGCACCACCCTTTTCCATTCTCCCTCCAGTGGCTATAATCTGTTTAATTTATGATAGACTTTTAAATATAACCACATTGTGTGCTGTGTATTCAAATCAACACAAACTCATTTTGAGTGAAAATGTCTGATTTATTTGTCTAGGTTTTAGAAACCTGCACGTGGATGACCAGATGACCATCATCCAGCAGTCGTGGATGGGGGTGATGGTGTTTGCGTTGATATGGAGGTCCTATAAAAACGTCAACGGCAGGATGCTTTACTTTGCGCCAGACCTCGTCTTCAATGAGTATGTACAGTTCTGAATGTTTAATTAATCTGTTTTTTGTTTTTTTTTTACAAATTTTACATTAGGAGAGCTGCTTGTTGTAATGAGTCAGTGAGTTCTCATCTCACCCTCTAATTTTTATGCATAAACACAAAGACAGAACGTGTAAAAGTTTTTTTAAAACCACAATTTTGGTCCAGATCCCTTTCTAGGTGTTCTTTTGTTGCAAAATTTAAAGTTAAGAACATTTTCCCGCAGGCAGACTCCAAATACTCTGTGCATTTCGATTAATTTAGGTCTGAAAATCCCAGACAACTGTGGTGAGATCTTAGGAATATTAATCATCACAACAACTGAATATTTTATCAGCTCCTTCAATATTCAAACTAAATCCCTCAACTGGAAGTTGTTGTTTTTAATCCTGGCTATACAATTTGGTCATTATGTCCTACAATCTGTACACTGCAGTCTGCAAATCTGAGTAAACGCATGTTTGTTGCTGCTGTAACCACAACATGAGCGTCTGTTTTACTAAAATGAAGCAAATCGAGGAGCCAAATTACAGCAAACGTGACACTTCAGTAAGTGTTGGAACAGAAAATCTGGCGTCACATTTAGTTTGATTTGAATAAGAACGGAACAATTGCCAAAAGTGAGTAAATCATTTACATTTAAGAATTTCTACAGTTTATTTGTAGACTAAATCCAAACCCAAACACTAAAATGGCCGAACAATGTGTTGTTTCTGGACAGCTAGCTGTTGTTCAGGGGTCTAATAAAGCTTCAACCAGTTTCCTCATTTTGTCTAGAAAAAAACATATTGGTACCTTTTGAAGCTTTTCCACATTTTGTAACATTACAACCAGGGCTTAATTTGAGCCGGATCCCGCCTGAACAGGATCCGGGAACTCTCTTATTTTGACAGGGTTTGTTCCGGTAACTGTTTGGTTGGGTCTGGTAACTCTCAGGCTTACTAATAATAACATTATGAACAAATATGACTGCCTTGAACGAATAAAACTTATATTGGATATGTAAACTGAAAATAATTGCACAAACACTCATTTTAAACACAACAGCCACTCACGAGCTTCTTAAGATCACATATGATCTGCCTCTTCAAGTAGCATTTCCGCCTCCACCCTTAAAAAAAATCTCTGCCCCTAAAAGAGTGGTGGTGGTGAGTGCCGAGCTAACCGGGCAGTCGTATATGGGAAGGAGCTCACAGGCAGCAGCAATGAACAGAGGGAGGAGGCGCCTGGAGGTTTCACATGTGGAGTCTGACAGTGAATTCAGCAATTCATCACAGAAGAGTCAGACTCTGAACCGTCAAGTGGGAGGGGGGATAGGATGCTTGACAAAAGCGGAGTGTTTACAAATGTAGGTAAATGTAGATGTTTAACAACCTGTTAAAATATACCAAAATGCAGGAAATCACATCTACTTTATTCAAAATTTTCTGGTGGAGGACCCCCAGACCCCCCAACCCCCAGCCAGCCCACCTGCTATTTGCGTTCCCGCATCGATCTAGTTACAAATTAAGCCCTGGTTACAACCACAAAATTTAAAGAATTCAACTGGGATTTCATGTGATAGACCAATAGCACATAATTGAGAAGAGGGAGGAAAAATATTTATGGTTTAGATGTGTTTTTAACTAATCAACGTAAAAAGTGTGCTGTGCATTTGTATTCAACTGTTTTTACTCTGATACTCAGTATTAAGTGTTCACACTCACTGATGCTGTCATTTGAAATATATATTTTCGGTGTTTCTCCAAGGATGATGTACAGAGTTGTAGCAACTACAGGGGAATTAAGATGATGAGTCACACAATGAAGATCTGGGCGAGAATTGTGGAAGCTAGAGCTAGACAAGAGGTGACTATTAGTGAGCAGCAGTATGGTTTCATGCCAAGAAAGAGCACCACAGACACCATTTTTGTTTTGAGGATGCTGATGGAGAAGTACAGAGAGGGTCAGAAAGAACTCCATTGTGTCGTTGTGGATTTAGAAAAAGCAAATGACAGGGGGCTGAGGGAGGTGGTATTGCATGAGGAACTCTGAGTTGCAGAGTATGTTAGACTGGTACAGGACATGTATGAGGACAGCAGGACAATGGTGAGATGTGCTGTAGGAGTGACGGATAGCTTCAAGGTGGAGGTGGGAGTGCATCAAGGATCAACTCTGAGCCCCTTCTTGTTTGATCTGGTGATGGACCGACTAACAGATGAAGTCAGGCAGGAATCCTCGTGGACGATGATGCTTGCAAATGGCGTGATCGTGGTGAAAACGGGAAAGAGGTGGAAGAGAATTTGGAGATGTGGAGGTATGTACTTGAAAGAAGAGGAATGAAAGTCAGCCATAGTAAAACAGAGTGCATGTGTGTGAATGAGAGGGAGGCTGGTGGAACAGTGAGACTGCAAGGAGCAGAGGTCACAAAGGTGCAGGACTTCAAGTACTTGGGATCCACTGTCCAGGAAAATGGGGAGTGTGGTAATAAAGTGAAGAAGAGAGTCCAGGCAGGATGGAAAAATATTTCAGGAGTGTTTTGTAACAAAAAGGTGTCAGCAAAGATCAAAGGAAAAGTTTACAAGACAGTGGTGAGACCAGACATGTTGTATGGTCTGGAGACAGAGACATGGACAAAAAGACTGGAGAAAGATCTGGAAGTGAAAGAAATGAAGATGTTGAAGTTCTCCTTAGGGGTGACAAGAATGAATAAGATTAAGAATGAGATCATCAGAGGTACAACACAGGTTGAACTACTGGGAGATAAAGTTAGAGAGTCCAAACTGAGATTGTTTGGACACGTCCAGAGGAGGGACAGTGAGTACAGTAGTCCCTCATTTATCTCAGGGGATCTGTACCCTGAAGACCTGCGATAAGTGAAAAACTGTGAAGTAGGAATAAGTAGTACACATAGTAAGTAGTAGTTTATTTTAGTGTATATATATATATATATATATATATATATATATATATATATATATATTAGGGATGGGGCAGATCCGATCCAGTATCGGTATCGGCCTCCGATACCAGCATAATTTACCTATCGGATTTTCCGATCCACCTGCTGATATTTCTGATCCATGATGCATGTTGGCTTCAAACTACGGAATGGATTTCCTGAACGGCGGCTTGTCTCATGAACCCAGAGTAATAAGACCCGCCTCACATTCAGGAAATCCATTTCATAGTTTGCAGCCAGCTACAATGTGAGGGCTGAGTTAGCAGCACTGTGGCTAACTGCTAACAAACTTTTAATCTAAACATGTCAGCTGTGTGGAAGTATTTTACACTAAAAACGCCACAAAACAGCATCGTGCAATGTCTGCAGAGCCATAGCGCCACATTAACCCACGTTAAAGTTAGTTTTACGATGGACACTCGAGCTCCATGGCTTCAGCGGGGCAGTACTCTTTGGTCAAACCGAAAGAGGCGACTCTACACCGGCCAGCCGCGTCCAATCTCCCCCCCTCAGTCTGCCCGTTTCTGAGGAGGGACAGACTGAGTGCAGCTGCCCCAAATCAGGCTGCTTGCTTCGGACTGAACAAGAAGAAGACGTCGCTGAAACCACGGAGCTCAAATGTTTACAGAGAAGTTGCTAAACTTCATCATAATTAATGACCAACCACTATCAGTTGTAGAAAATGAAGGATTTCACAGCTTGATACTTGCTGTCAAGATATAGTTTACCCTCCAGAGATATTTATCAGTACAACAGTAGACAATCATAAAAAACATGATTTGAAAATTATATATATTAAAAACATAAACAGCTACATTATAAAGTGATGTAAAACACTAAAAACAGGAACATGTCTGTTGGTTTATGCCATGAACTTAGCAGATGTTTGAAGCCATTTAACATTTAATTTAATTCATTTATTCATTGATTTAAATGAAACAAAATTTAAAAAAAAAATCATCAAACAGAAAATATTGAATGAAAAGAGTGCAGAAAGAAGAAAAAATTCTTATATCTGCCCCTTATAAAATATAAAACAACTTTAAACAATCACTTAAATTAATCACTTTAATATCCACTTTAAAACTAGGAATAAAAAGAAACATGTTTTGTGTTAGAATTTAATTCTAACTTTAAAACTTATCCAACTTTAATAAAACTTACCTCAAATTGCCTTTTTGGACATGCGTGCATATATTTGTACAAATTGTACTTGAGAGGAGATTATTACAGCCTCATATAAAATCAATGATGATCATGATATCGGAACTGGATCGGTATCGGCCGATACTCAGTTCTAGGTATCGGGATCGGAATTTTAAAAAGTGGATCGGTGCATCCCTAATATATATAAATATATATATATATATATATATATATATATATATATATATATATATA